TAACTGTGTTAATAACAGTTACTATTTAAATTTTCATATTTAATTTACAGGATACCACAGGACTGGAAACATCACCCAAAGATTCTGTATCATGTCCTGGGAAAAGGACTAGCATGTTTTTAGTCTTATGTGGGATAGTTCATTCTGTATATCATTATTTTTATTATGTTATAAGTATGATTTTGCTATGTATTTCCTTGGTGATTGAAAATGCTTTAAGAAGCTGTGTATGGGTGCCAAGGAGAAAAGGAGTGGGCTATGATGGCTTTGCGATTTGTCAACTTAGTTAGGCTGAACTACATTTCTCAGAATTCCTTGCTAAGTTTCTAGCTAGGGTAGTCTGTGGGATATTCTTTTGTGAGAGTTGGAGGATAGAGAGGAAGTAACAGCCATTTTGCAGCATATACACAACTTCTCAGAGTTATTCAATCAAGCAATAGTCTAGGGCCTGATGTGAAGGGATTTGGGAGATATATTTAAGGTTTCAATTTTCAGTTAACCAAAAGGGAGATTACCATAGGTGAGTCTGGCTTATTAATCAGGCGGTAGGCATCAAAGCAACTAGGTCTCTGAAAATCAGAGACTTAAACAGCACAGTTGGGCCAAGCAGTTGCTCTCCTGTCCCCTTGTATCTTTTTTTCCTGAGCGCCCATCTGTGGACTTTGGGCTTCCTTGACAGAGCCCAAAATTGTGTGAACCAATTCCCTTAACATCACTATCACTATCTATCTGTGTGTGTGTGTGTGTGTGTGTGTGTGTGTGTATAAAATATAAATTTTAAAAATATATATCCTACTGGTCTGCTTCTCTGGTTGAAGCTTGACTTACATAGATTAAAAGCGATTTAAATAACATATGAACCCATCGTAATGCATTTATTTGGATAGAGGTTTAAACAAAATGTAAAAATATTATAAGACCATTGAGAAAATTTTAAAGACCATGGAGACAATATAAACACAGACCAGATATCTGATAATACTAAGGAGTTTTTGTCAATTATTTTCAATATAATAATGGTATTATATTGGATTTTTTAAGGTTTATAATGTTTTCAGAATAAAAACGTATTGACGGGGCGCCTGGGTGGCTCAGTGGGTTAAAGCCTCTGCCTTCGGCTCAGGTCATGATCCCAGGGTCCTGGGTTCGAGCCCCATATCGGGCTCTCTGCTCAGCAGGGAGTCTGCTTCCTCCTCTCTCTGTCTCTGCCTGCCTCTCTACTTGTGATCTGTCAAATAAATAAATAAAATCTTAAAAAAAAAAAAAAACGTATTGACAGGATTTCTTCAAATTAGTCTGAGAAAAAGGTTAAATTGAAACAACACTGATCAGGAGTTTACAGTATTGAAGGTCAGTATACAGTACCTGGGGTCCATTATACTGTATTATCTCCTTTTGAATAAGAATTTTCCCTTATAAAAATGGAAATTAAAAAAAATTTTTTTCTTAAAGCCTACAAATATTTGACCCTGAGAAGAAAAGGTTATGTGCATTTATTAAATTTTCTATCCCCACTACAGACATTAGATAGACTTGCTGTACCCAGTCTCCTATCTCTTCTATCACACACACACACACACACACACACACACCCCTCTTCTTTCTACACCATACACATCAAAACATCCGTATGTAAAATGTAGGTTGTATTAAGTAAGCCTTATACTTTCTCAGTTATATGAAATGAAACATGGATAAAATAATTTAGAATTACATGAAGCCAATTAGACACCCCTGACCTACCAAAGAAATGCTTACCTAGTGAAACCAAAAGGCTAAACAGCAAGGCAAAATCTAGCAAGGTAGCGTATGGTAATGTATTTTTGTTAATATACATGGATACCAATTTCTTCTTGTACTTATAAATCCTTGTAATATTATTATAAGACAATGGAACTTTTTATTATTCCACTGTAATATTATTCCACTGTAATAAACAGTGGAAATAGCAGATAACATTAGAAAGAAGCCTTGACTAGAGCTCATAAAACCTTGTCTGGAATTTAAGAAGGACTAAGGCTTATTTGAACAGCAGGAAGTACACACATCGGAATCTGAATAATCCATAAAGTAAGCAATTCCCTGATGCCATTTGTGGGTCTAATGGTTTATCGTCTGAAAATATATTTCACTATATTTATAGTGTCTCATTTATTATTTCTTCAATTCACTTCCTCTTGCCAGAGTAATGAAGAATCATCTGATCAAAATGGTTTTTTTCTACAGTAAAATGTGAAAAAATAAAATTTTAAATTCTATCCTACTACTTTTTACCTCTGTTCTTGAATTCTAGTCTTAGCTCTAGCTAAGAAAAATATAGGTAGGGAATAAAACATCATGAAGAGTAGAGGATGTAGGGATGTACTAATTTATTATACCACAATGTAATATAAGAGTGAACAATAATAAACATTTCTACTATCACACATGGGGAAATTGCCATATAAAAGAATCTGATGAACAAAAAAATTTTATGGTTTATAATTGGCAGGCTAAAAAAAAAAGTCAAAACTCTTGAGTATTATTAAAGTGACCATATAATTTACTGTTCAAATTGGGACAATTTTGAAAGTATTGATAATTGCCCGGTCACATGGCCTAAGCCAGGACCAGAGCAAATGGGAGACTCAGGATTACTCTAGGCATTACCAGAATAAAGTATGTGTAGATGAAGATATGCAAAAACAGAGAATAAATATATCAAATATATTCTTTACAGTTTACAGTATCAAGATTGTTTTCCTTGGCATATCATTTTCCACTGTGCCTACAGTACATCTTCAAATATGTGTACCATTAACAGATTTAAAGATCCTTGTAAAAGTACACAATATTTACCCTGATGTTCACAATTTTCTTTGTAAGATTCTATGGTCATAAGCATACTAAGATAGAAATTTGTTTTTAGAGATGTAGAAATATCTACCAACTCTCCCATTTACAGATTAAGAAAATGAAACTCAGAGCAGGTAAATAAGTTATTTAAAGCCACAAAATTAGTAGGTAGAAAAGTCACAACCAGATTATCAATTCAAGGTTCTTTTTATTTTAAACTTTTATTTTGAAATAATTTAAAGAAGAGTTCCAAAGATAAAAATTCCCCTGTTCCCCTCAGGCGGCTTCTCCTAATGTTTGCCTTTTGCATAACCATGTACCAATTATCACAAGTTTCTTTTCATTGCATCATGTAAAGTGTTAGTTCAGATTTAGTGTCTTTAAGTGCCAAAAGATGTATTTCATAATATTTAGAAAAATGCTCAAAAAACTATTGATCTATTACAAACCAAGGAAATGTACTCAGTGCCAAAGAATTTAGGATTCTTTCTAATATTAACATATCTCTTTATGTATTGAGATGAATATTAAGGCTTGGGAACTTTTTGGAATAATGCTAAAAACACATTTATGTTTCCATATAAATTAGGGTGAGCTTTCATAGACTGTTTCATAAATATAGTCATCAACAATGAATTTATGTGATTAAATACATAAAACCTGTTTGAATTTTTAAGAAGAGAAAGTTTAATAAATAATTTTTCTAAAAAGTGCAATCTTGGAAAGGCATTTCTAATCAATATGTCTATTTATAGAACTTGTTATACAAACCCAAGATGTGGGATTAGGTGATAAACTCTTCTGGTATATATTTGTTCCTGTTTTCTTTGTGCCTCATAGGATGAAAAAATAATCAGAATATGTACCATGTTTATATCTTAAAAAATCAAAAATGTGTTTTTTAATGTGTAGGGGCAGAATAGACTCCAGCTGTCAGAGAAAGTCAACAGAAAAAGATGCAGCTCTGGCAATTGGAAGACTAGCCAGCATGCATGCATTGAATTAATGCATCCTAGGAAAAGAACTCCATTAATGACTGAAGGGAGTTGGTGTATATATACCTGAGTTTTCTCACACTTTGAGTGGGCTAATTCTGAAGCTACTGTTTTAAATGGTTTCCCAGGAATCCCAGTAAGATTAAGCTCTTTTTGCTCACAATGAAACTTGCTTGGTAATTCACCCTTCATTGCCTTCCTTCCATTCCCTGTCTCACTTACCCAAATCCCTACTGTTTTCTGAAATCACTTTCTAAATACACTATTTGCACTTGAATACTTAAGTCAGGATCTGATTTTGGTAGAAGACAAACTCAGAAAAGTTTCCCAAAGCATAGGCTGAAGAGACACTCAAGTAGAGGGAGTATTATGTCCTATAGTTAGTAGGACTCATTGTGGGAAAGGCAGGAGGAAGGAGACAAATGGGTTTTGCAATCTTTGCGGACATCGACTATCTGTGTTTTCTCTAGAAAGCCAATCATTATTACTGAAAATAGATTATCTTATGTCCATGTTACTCTGATTAAAACATAGGAAAGAAAAAAACCTCTACTGAAAGCCAATAAAGACTAGGGATTTTGTTCTTCAGATTAATATAATTTTCTCTCAGAGTTGCTTATGTTCATAACTCATCAAGTAAGCAAGGAAGCACACACATTCTCTTGTATCTTATGGTGTTAGAAAATATTATTAAATTTGCACTGCCAATTGCTTGGTTAATTAAAAATAAAGTATTTCTTTTCAGAGAATTAAAAGGTCAAATATTTCTATTACATTTTTCAAAAAGTTCATTCAAACAGTTTATTTGTATCATAAGAGGTATAGCATACTATAAACTGGGAAATGATTTTTAAAATTTTTTTCAGTTTTATTAGAATAGATAAAATGTTTGTCTATTTAATAAGAGATAAAATGTTTATGTCTATTTAATCAGAATGATAGAGGTACACATAGTGTGAAATGGAGAAGTATGCTTTTTTAAAAAATAATAAAACATAATACAGAATGGATAATAAATTGTACTCTCTGATAACCTTCATTGACCAAATCAGATCATAGCTAACTGACCCTTAGATGTCTGACCAGGTCTTAAGATAGTCTCTGAAATTCCTGGCATATCAGAGTTAAATAAATTATTGGTAAGCATGCTATCCACATTTAAAATCATACCTTCTGCTCCTAGGCCCCATGGAATGGTAGGTAGTATTTAAATATTAAGTCTGAAGAAGGAAATAAGAGATGGGTCAAATAAAAATACAGTGTCATCTCTCAGGAAGCTTATGTCTCAGTAAGGCAATTTAACTTAGAAAGCTCATTTTCAATTTAACTTACACATGGCAATGATAGATATTTTCTAAAATATTTCAGAAATATTTTTAGAAATTTCTTAACATCAGTTTCCAACTCTCAGGCTTACCCCAATTCAGAAATACTTTATGCTGAATACTTTTGTCTGAGCTTTAATACAATACAGATTTGAACTATCTTCATTTTTGAATTATCTTTGTCCCTGGTCTTTTACTGTTTTAAAACAATTTAGTAGCAAATCCTAGCCCTCTTCTAATTTTTCATTTGAAAACATCCTTGCATATTTTTGGTACACTTCACAGAACACTTTGATTACACAATGTCTGCCATCAGCTTTTTCTATCTTGACTACCACATACTTATTCCAAACCCTGATTTTCTTTCATCACAGCTCCCTTGTGTTTTGTTTTTTGTTTTTTTTAAATCCAATTCCGTGTATAAATCCTCTTTATTTTGGTCATGAAGGCCATATCAGGGTTTCCTATTACATCATATATCAGATAAAATTCTGGACTTTTTAAAGGTTCACAGACCTTTACCAATATGTCTAACTTACCGGCTTTCCCTTTCTTTGAGGTCTCAGCATATCTTCTTCTCTGACTTGAGGAAAAGTGTTTTTCATACTCCAGATGAACTTTTATTCCCAAACCAAATGTTATTGTTTTCCCCTTGTTCAGTGGACTTTAATCTGTCTTTCATCACTTAAAAAGCGCCAGAAATCCCAATACCTCCTAGATGTTCCCTGCAATAAAGGATGCTATGAGAAAGGTTAGTATTCTTTTCCATTCCTTTCCCTGTCAGGAATTAAATTTTATTCTATTCTCTTTGGTTATTGCCTCAGATATCCAGGTATTCTTAGTTAGAATATCATGGAATTACAGTTAAATTCTTTATTATGCTAGCTTTTACTGAAGCTATCATTCAGGTTGAAGTGCTATAGTGAAAAGTAAGAGGAAGGAGCATCTTTGTTCTAGAAACCGAGCAACTATGTTTATACCTTTTCACATCTTAAAATACATTTCACATCTTACATTATCTCATTTGACTCATAAGACCTATGGGAAGTAGAGTTTCAGTCCCTGTTTTAAGTGCAAAGATGAAACTCTAGTGTACTGCAGTATTCAAGAGGGCAGACTTTGGAATCGGGAAGACTTAAGTTTGAATTATTGGGACAATATTTATACCTATGTGACTCTGAATTATTAATATTGCTAAACCTAAACTGCCTCATAAAATAGGGACAGTAATAACTATACGATATACTACACATAAAGAGCACCACATGTAAAATGGATTGCTTGGCACATGGCAAGCACTTAATAAATAGCCAACATGTTAAAGGATTTTCCCTACACTTTTAGAACATGACTGCAAGGACTTCAAACCAAGATTTCGGGCTCCGAAGCCCATGTTTTTCCATTATCCCTAACTGCTAGCACCCTAACTAATTAAACAACTAACTTGGTAGATGACCTTGAGAAAATAATTCACTGAATCAGTTTAGTGATCTGTAAGCTGAGTCTTTTCAGACTTTCAGAGTCTATCGTAGCTGTTATTCTTTTTCCGTAGCGTTGTACACTTGAGGTTCAGACTCCCTTATATACCCAAGATCTGTATAGTCATAAGCCGTGCACATTGCAACTAGTTTTATTCCTATATTCATACTTTCTTCAATAATTAGTTTTGTGTACACTCATTCAGCTGTTGCCTGCCTTTAGTCTGCCTTTTAGCGCCTCGTGAAGGGAAGACCCATATACCTAGCTTTATTTATACCCTTGCTTGTTCCCGAAAGGATTAAAGGCAGCGAGTAACACTGAAAAGTTCCCTAACGATGTTACACTGTGCCACTAATAAATACTCTTTTGATGAAACAACCCGTAGAAAACCGCCGATGAGTTGAGATGCTGTCTTTTACCTAACTCTTAAAAATAAAAACTAATGTACCTAGCTAGTAGTCCTGGAAGCATAAAGTTAAAGGTTCTTCCTTCAGCCTTGACGCTGTCTCCCCCGTTGTCAACGGTCACTCGAATGCCCTTCTCAGACTAGCCGAAACTGTCGCCGCTCCAGCCCCGGCTTAACCGAGATCCCACCCCGCCCCTTCATTCCCTCTCATACCTAAGTTTCCTGATTGGGACGGGGCCTGGAGAGCCTTTCTCACATTCCCATTTTATTGGCTAGCATGACTGTCAGTAATCTCTGCTTCCCGCCTTCTAGCCTAGCGCGTTTCTTAGACCCCTTGGTTTCTGCGACAAGCCGCTTACGTTTGCCTGAGCCGTGTTGCCGGGACCCGCGACCTTTCACCCCTCCCTTCCCACAGGAGCACCCCAGCCTCCATCCCCGGCGCGCGCCCCCGGGCACGCGCTTAGCCCGCGCACACACACGCACGCGCGTACACACTCACACATACACACCCTCCCCCGCCTCCGGCGGGGCCCCCTCCGCCCCCGCAGGCTGAGGCATCAGCGATGGGAGGCGGCGGCGGCGGCGGCGGCGCTGCTGAGAGGCAGGGACCCGAGCGCGAAGTGTGTGGGAGTCTACGAACTCAACCCCTCTCTACCCTCCCCTCGCAGCCATCCCCCTCCCTCCCCGCCAGCCCCCCCTACAAGCGGGAGAAATAATGAGCGAGACCGGGCGGCAGCAGCAGCATCGCCGAGCAGCCCAGGCAACGGCAGAACCGCTCCGGCAGCGGCGGCGGCGGCAGCACCAGCAGCGGGAGCGAGCGCAGCGCTAGCGCTGCGCGGGGATCGCCGCGCTCCTTCCCGGCTCCTGCCCTCCTCCGCCGCTCGCTCCTCTCTCCGCATCCACCTCCTTCCCCTCCTCCTGCTCATTCACTCTTTCCCTCACTCTCCCCTCCTCCTCGGCTTCTCCCCGCGCCCCGCCAGCCCTCGCGCTCTCCCACTCCCTCTGCCCGTCCTCCCCGCTCCCCTCCTCCCGCTCATTCACTCGCCCCTCTCCCTTCACTCTCTCCCCCTCTCTCCTTTCTTCTCCTTCTTTCACCCTCCGTCTCTCACACCCCCTCCATTCCCCTGTCTCCTTTCTGACACTGCACTGCAGCTGCTCCTCAGCCCTGCCCCCTCCCCAGTGAGAACAAACCAGCAACATAGCTTTTTTTTCCTAAAGAGATTTCTATTGATCCGATTAAAGAAAAAAAAAAAAAAACCTCAAGAAACCCCAAACGCAAAAAAAAAAAAAAAAAAAAAAAAAAAAAAAAAAAAAAAAAAAAAAAAGAAAGAAAAGAAAGAAAAAAAAAAGCCAAAACAAAAGGGAGAACCTTCTCCCCGTAGCAGCGGCAGGAACTGCAAACATGATGGCGGCAGCTCCCATCCAGCAGAACGGGACCCACACTGGGGTTCCCATAGACCTGGACCCGCCGGACTCGCGGAAAAGGCCGCTGGAAGCCCCCCCTGAAGCCGGCAGCACCAAGAGGACCAATACGGGCGGTGGGTATCGCTTCCACCTCCCCGCTGGCCCCATCCCCCGCCGCCCGCCCCTGCCTCCCTCCCTCCCGCCGGCCTCCCTCCCTCCCGCGGCCCGGACACCTCTAGCCCGAACCCGGCGGCTCCCGCGCCCCTGCCCCGCGCCCCCTCCCCTGCACCTGCCCGGCACCTCGCCGTCCCGGACACATTTCCATTTCTCTGTTTATCATTCATCAAAATGGCGACCGGTTTTTCGGAATAGACCTATCTTTCCATTTAATCGGTCTAAAGACTGACCATTTAAATATCCTAGACCTGGGCAAGGGGGTCCGTTAAAGAGGAGGAGGATGACCCCCGAGTGAGGTGATGGCCGCCCGAAGATGCGCGCTGCATTTAACAGTCTGATAAAATAAATAAATAAATGGCACTTGGGTAGCGGATAGCAAATGATTGGGGCACCGGAGAGTTTTCCTCTCTTCGTCCCCTTGCTTTGGGCCACAAGTAGTATGCAAAATCTTGATGAGTGCATGCTCTTACCGCACTTATATTGTCGTTGCAAATATCTCATTGATTTGTCTTCAGAGGTGTGCATACGAGGGTGGGGGTGTCTGGTACTCTGACTTGTTAGTTTAACATCCTGCGCTTCCTGGGAAGATGAGTTATAACGGGACCGCTATCGCTTCTTCATTTGCACTGGAGTCATCTTAACAATGCACCCAATGCATCGAGGCAGAGGTGAATTTATCTACAGCATGTACATTAGAAACGGATGGGGGTCTTGCGAATGGCACACCCGCAAAATTTGGAACGTTTATTCACATAAGGAAGCTGGATTTACCGGGGTGTTTCCTATTTAAGACTAGATCAGTTTGTCGGAAATTAAAGTTTATGGAGTTGGCTTTATTTTCTAAAACATTTCATTTCACTCTTTCTTGGTTCATCCACCCCCTCTGCTTTAAAAATTGTGGCTATTTTGGAGAAGTAACATAATCTGTTTGGTCACTTTTAAGTGTGTTTGATATAAATGACTCCTAAGCTTTTTAGTATTGGCAGAATTCTTCTTAAGGTCCTTTAATTAATGAGCTTAAACGAGATCATGGTAGACTAAGAAGTGCTAAAGAAATACACAGGATTAGTTAGATTTGCCAGTTCACATCACTTTGAGTTATTTCCTGGCAGTTATTACAGGCTTGGAATACACCCTACAGTTTGGGTGGATTATTTGGTAGGAGAAATGTTTGTTTTGCATACTTTAAGTAGGATATAGTCAATGGCTAATTGTAGTCCTTAGGTGTTTGCTAATGTCAAACAAATATAGCTCATCACTATTTACAGTCCTTTTACTTATTTATATTGGAATATGTTAAGCAAAGTTTTGTCATCATATAAGTCTCTGAAGTTTTGTTAAAGGGTCAGTTCATTTCATTTTACCATAGTAACCACAGATAGAATTGGAAGACTTCCATGTTTGGAATAACAACTGGAATTTAGTCATCAGTTTCTACAGTGCTGCAAAATGATAGAACATGTTTAGTTTTTAATTCCAAGTTTGAAAGTATAAATCCTACAAAATGGGAAACATTTTGTATCTCTTTATTTTTCTTTGTAATTAGCTTATTTTTGTTCTTTAAAAAATTTAACCCCATATTTCCTGCAGCTGTATGCCCAATGTTTTAATTGCTGTTTTTCCCTCTTGAGGGTGGAGAGGGGATACAAAGTTTGAAATTATCATGTTAACCAAGTATATTTCTTTGCATTTTTCAGAAGACGGCCAGTATTTTCTAAAGGTTCTCATACCTAGTTATGCTGCTGGATCTATAATTGGGAAGGGAGGACAGACAATTGTTCAGTTGCAAAAAGAAACTGGAGCCACCATCAAGCTGTCTAAGTCCAAAGATTTTTACCCAGGTAGGTGCAATGGTGAAGAGATTGTTTGATAAATCCCCAAGGAAAAAAAAGAGAAGATCTACCTGTGCTGTATGTTGTACTGAAAGAAATTCTTAATAGTATGACTTTATTTATATATTGTATTTGTGGAGAATTTTTAAAGTATATTTCTACTGTTGGTGTTATGTTTTGTTTCAATAATTGATATACTGTGTCTGATTTAGAACAATTATGAGATGAATCTTTTAGGTATTTCTAAATACTTCTTTCTAATTAGGAAAAAACTCTAAAATTTAAAGATAGAAACATGGACAGCTGGCATCAGGAAATAGGGTTCTTTTGAAGTTTTCAGACATCATTGTAATGACAATTAGTCTAGAGTGAATTCAGAAGAGGGGGTAGGAAGGCTTCTTAAAGAATGGACCATTTACTTCTAAATCCATTATGTACCTCTTTCTGCTTCACTGCTTTGTTTGTTGGCCCTGGAGTGAAGTAAAGAGGACAAGTGCTGCCTCTTCAGATTTTTAAAATACTGCCTTTTTAATGTAATTGTGATAAGGAAATATATTGTTATGTAAGAAGTAAAGTAATACTTCAAAATTTGTGTTATGAACAGCTGTATTAGACTAAAATATGTTAACAGTTGTGTGGTACTGTAACCTGCTGGAAAATGGCAAGTTTCCTAGGTGGTATAATTTTTTTTGTACTTTCAGTGTGTGTTTTTTATTTCAAATGTTATATAGTTCTGCGTGTTTTATCTTTTTCTTTTTTTACCATTTTGCTACTTAGGGTAAGGATTTTAAGTTTAACTAGAAAATCTGCATAATTGAATAGTATATCTCTTAGGTAAAACATTAACTGATTTGCTTTTACCCAGGTGTAGCTTCTGTCTTTTTTGTTTGTTTGTTTTTGGTTATTTTGTCTTTATGGCCATAAAAAATATTTATTCACTGCTGAGGGGACTGATACTGCTTTTTTTTTTTTTCCTGGTAGAAAAGAAAAGCTTATTTGCTTTCAATGATCTAATTTCAGTAAGAGTTCTTTAATAGAGGATTTCTTTTTCATAGCCAATTGATTGGTGGTAGAAAATGGACTATTATGCTAGATAAGGTTTTAGAATGGTCGACAGTATCATTTAGTTATACAAATTAAACGTAGTATATTTGGTAAACACTACAAATAGTAAACTAAAATGTAATGTATTAGATATGCTGCCCTTCGAAAGTTTGCTCCTGTGAGTGTAGTTTTGTAGATGGCTTTCCTTGTCTCTGAAACTTTCCTTATGCATTAAGAAAGTTTACTAACATATTCACATTTATGTGTTTAAAAGGTATATTATGATGAAAAAAATCAATGTGGAATTGTGAAAACCTTTTACAAATAAAAGCACTCAAAAGAGCTTGATTGCAGAATTAATAACGTGATAGTTCTAGGAAAAGAGCTGCAATGGTAAATTAAATTCACTGTCAATAGATGAAAATGAAATAGCTTTTTTGCATTAAACATGAGGTGGTATCAGATGTGCAGGGATGTTACAGAAAATTGGTGTTTATCAAGGATATTCCAAATAGTAAATTAAATGCCTTTTCATTTGAATATAGTTTATTTTCAGTGGGTTGGAAAGGGTGCATCGAGAATTGGATCTTTTGTTTTTAGTCCACTTAGTTATGCATATTTTTCTTATTACATTGAAATTGCTTATTTTATTTATAGTTAGTTCTGAGACACATTATTCATATACAGCAAGAATATCTGTTGGAAAAAATGGAAAACTGGAATGCGTTGAACAAAATTTTGTGTG